ATGACAAAACCTTGTCGAAACGTTGTACATTTGCTGTTATGTTAAACTTATATTAAAGTTTTTCTTTATTACCCATTCAAGCCGTCTCCAGCCATTACTAGTGTCTTTTATGTTTTATTTCCTTGGCGGCAACGTTTCGAGCAAACGTTCTTTATCAAGCCAGAAACAAGCCTGTCGGTTAATGAGAAAGCTCTACAGCTCTACAATACACGAGAAGAGAAAGTAACACGAGATTCAAACAATATGGTAATGACAGTATAGGAAAGAAAATAGTGACGATTAAGGTTGGGAAAATAAAAAATATGTGTAAAAAACAGTAGCACAAATAGGCTTAAAACATTGAAAGAAATAACTACGAAGAACTCAAAATCTAAGAAACTCGTAAATCCCAACTCTTCATATATGATTATACATTCTATTCTTCGTCAGGATGAAAGACCATCATCATACAATGTACCAGCGAACACACTGCCTACTTCTGTTATCAAAATCTCTCCTGACCTAAGCCTAACGGATAGTGGGGTCTCTATGCTAAGTAAAGTTCTTAATTTTGTCCCCGTTAAGAAACATGTAAACGAGTTCAACAAAAAAACACGAAGAAAAAAATTGTTTTCGTCGGTTTTCGTCTTGAAGCACGTTTCTACAGTTCATCCATCATACAGATCAGTCAAGACAGAAAACACGCCACCTACCAACACCGCTAAGTCATTTCTAGCTCAGACACAGAAACAAGTGGACACCCTCACTTGGGAAATTTCATCCTTTCGATTGCTACATAGAGACTTTCAAATGTAATTTAGAACTTGGATTTCACAACTACGGCGCCGTTCAGAAATCCCAATAAAGACGAGGAAACTGCATTATATAATCTTCGTTGCCGTGAAAACATTGTAATAAAAACATGATGACAAAGGAGGAGCAGTGGTTGTTTGTAAAAAATAACTTTATCTTCAGGAAGGTCACCGACAACTATCAGATCAATCGTCCTATGCTATATGTGATAACAACCCTCTTGATAAGTATCAACAACATGCATGCCACAACAGAACTAATGGTTAGAAATAATGAACCTCCTTTAGAAGCTGAGAATTTAGCTCTTAAATACGCCGGGCTTTCTGTATTCCATCTTTTTCCTATGATGCATTAACCAGGCACTCCTCATAGACATTTTAACATGCAGTTGTCTTGCTGAACTAATTTCTTGTTATCTTGATTCCATTTTAACACTGTTAGTTCATCAACTCCCTAATTACACCTTGATTCTATCCCAACTGCTTTAGTTCATCAACTTCCTAATTATACCTTGATTCTATCCCAACTCCTTTAGTTCATCAACTCCCTAATTACACCTTGATTCTATCCCAACTCCTTTAGTTCATCAACTTCCTAATTATACCTTGATTCTATCCCAACTCCTTTAATTCATCAACTTCCTAATTACACTTTGATTCTATCCCAACTCCTTTAGTTCATCAACTTCCTACTTACACCTTGATTTTATCCCAACTCCTTTAGTTCATCAACTCCCTAATAACACCTTGATTCCATCCTAACCCCCTTAGTTCATCAACTCCCTAATAACACCTTGATTCCATCCTAACCCCCTTAGTTCATCAACTCCCTAATAACACCTTGATTCCATCCTAACCTCCTTAGTTCATCAACTCCCTACTTACATTCATAACACCAATGACGTCTTAAAAATGCGAATTTTGACTCAATATCAGATTATATTATTTAATCCATACTTGGCATAACATCGTTGCATACTTTCATAAAGATGGGCTAAAACAATATCTTAATAAAAGGGATATCCTAGACCCACCCACTGAAGCCCTAATAGAACTAATTCTATGTTTTTTCTTTTGACAACAAATTCTATAAGCAAGTGAAGGGTGTAGCTATGAGGACCAAGCATGTGCCCCTCCCACGCTAACCTCTTTGTTGGTTAAGTTGAATAGTCCATGTTTTGTAGCTAAACAGCTGTTATATGATGATGTTTTTGACATAGCTACATGCACAGCTGCCTTATATTGTGGATGTATTGATGATGTTTTTGACATAGCTACATGCACAGCTGCCTTATATTTTAGATGTATTGATGATGTTTATGACATAGCTACATGCACAGCTGCCTTATATTGTAGATGTATTGATGATGTTTATGACATAGCTACATGCACAGTTGCCTTATATTTTAGATGTATTGATGATGTTTTTTACATATCTACATGCACAGCTGCCTTATATTTTAGATGTATTGATGATGTTTTTGACATAGCTACATGCACAGCTGCCTTATATTGTAGATGTATTGATGATGTTTTTGACATAGCTACATGCACAGCTGCCTTATATTGTAGATGTATTGATGATGTTTTTGACATAGCCTACATGCACAGCTGCCTTATATTGTAGATGTATTGATGATGTTTTTGACATAGCTACATGCAGTAATCATGAATTTTTTTTTTCGTCAGCTCGTTAGATCCTTTCATTCATTACTCCAATACATGTCTTGTAGTTCTCACTAAGTAGTCTCATTTATTGACATAAATGCTTCCGTGACCTATGGTAGCCATCTCGCGACATCTTCATACAAAACAAACCGATGGACATACACAGCTACTTAGATTACCGCTCCGGGTATCCTCCATTCCCAAATCCCAACTGACCAGATTGCACAGGCTCTGCAGTTACGACCAAGATTATAATAGTATATCTATCGATATGTTCCAGCTTTACGAAAATCGTGGCCATCCTACTTCTCTTCTTCGTCACAGTAAAGACAACCCACATACAAATCATATAGGTAATTATAACACCAACACGCATGGTAATTTAGAGATTCCAACGACACGTATCGAACCTCACTTCGACCAACACACTTCTACTCCCACTGATTGTACTCACATTCCCTTTATCACCCACTCAACGCATCATATATACATCAGACATACTACTGTGGCACTGGGGGGTCCTCCGGTAAGAGGGCCGAAAGCTCGCAAATAAAATGTATCTTTAGCCAGTGTCCAAAAAACGTGTTTACGACTTACTGATATTTTTTGGTTAAAAGTAACTGGTATGTTATTATGGATCAATTAATCATTAAAGTCATTGACCCACAAGAAATTTAAAACATAAACAGTTTAGATAAGTATGTTTAAAAATTATACGGAGGAATATGAATACCGTCGGAAATTCTAGGGTTAAGACAAGAGTCACATAAATTCTAGGGTTATGACAAGAGTCACATAAATTCTAGGGTTATGACAAGAGTCACATAAATTCTAGGGTTATGACAAGAGTCACATAAATTCTAGGGTTATGACAAGAGTCACAGAAATTCGAGGGTTATGACAAGAGTCACAGAAATTCTAGGGTTATGACAAGAGTCACAGAAATTCTAGGGTTATGACAAGAGTCACAGAAATTCTAGGGTTATGACAAGAGTCACAGAAATTCTAGGGTTATGACATGAGTCACAGAAATTCTAGGGTTATGACAAGAGTCACAGACTGCGAACAACAAGTATATCACTGCGTAGCTCTCAACGGAAGAATAGCTGCCGTAGCGCATGTACAACGTAATTTAACACGTAAAAGACGATACGATGGCCACGTTTAGTTGCGGCCATGACGTGTACCAAAAGAAAAAATGGCGTTGTTTTAGTTGGTCATTTTTTTTTGCTTTTTTTAGTTTTCCTGCTTTTTGCTGTTTTTTTTTCACTTTATCTATTTTATCAGGTTGAGATAGAAGTCTGTACACTTTATGTTGGAAGAAACGAGTCCTACTTTGTGCATGAGCGGTAGGTTTTGTCGCTGCATTACTGCTTTAAGTGTTTGGGATGAAGTACAATACTGATGTTGGGATGCAGTACAGTATTGATGTTGGGATGAAGTACAATATTGATGGGGGGATGAAGTATAATACTGATGTTGGGATGAAGTACAGTATTGATGTTGGGATGAAGTACAATACTGATGTTTAGATGAAGTACAGTATTGATGTTGGGATGAAGTACAGCATTGATGTTGGGATGAAGTACAATATCGATGTTTGGATGAAGTACAACATCAATACTGTACTTCATCCCAACATCAGTATTATACTTCATCCCCACATCAATACTGTACTGCATCCCAACATCAGTATTGTACTTCATCCTCACATCAGTATTGTACTTCATACCAACATCAATATTGTACTTCATTCCAACATCATTACTGTACTTCATTCCAACATCAGTATTGTACTTCATCTAAACATCAGTATTGTACTTCATCTAAACATCAGCATTGTATTTCATCCCAACATCATATCATACTTCAGCTAAACATAAGTATTATATACGTACATTATTTATACAGAAAATGATTGATTTCACAAGGTGTTGCTTGGTCAGTTTCTTACACTATGAGTTGTAACAGGTAAAAACACAGTACACTGTGTGTTGTAAATAGGTAAAAACACAGTACACTGTGTGTTGTAAACAGGTAAAAACACTGTACATTATGTGCTGTAACAGGTAAAAACACAGTACACTATGTGTTGTAAATAGGTAAAAACACAGTACACTATGAGTTGTAACAGGTAAAAACACAGTACACTATGTGTTGTAAATAGGTAAAAACACAATACACTATGTGTTGTAAACAGGTAAAAACACAGTAAACTATGTGTGGAGAAATACAGAACAGGATCACATGTGAATGGGATTTCATAAATAGCAAGCTGTTTTTAAAAATGAAATTCATTCTCCCGAAATACATACAATAACGCCACAGAAACCTCCAAAGTAAAAAAAAAAATGTAAAATTTACTAACATTACCGACAAATATTTATACCGTTCCGTTCCGGAGAGGTTTACATATTACACCATATTGAGTAATTCTATTACAACACATAGTGTACTGTGCTTTTACCTGTTACAACACATAGTGTACTGTGTTTTTACCTGTTACAAGACATGGTGTACTGTGTTTTACCTGTTACAACACATAGTGTACTGTGTTTTTACCTGTTACAGCACATAAAGTACAGTGTTTTTACCTGTTTACAACACATAGTGTACTGTGCTTTTACCTGTTAAAACGGGATGTGTCAAAACTGATCATTGTGTATTTTGAGGTGAGGTTATGTGTTGGTGCTTAGTAAAGAGGTGGGATATATCAAAAATGATCATTGTGTATTGTGAGGTTATCACGGTTACTTTCATATCTCTACAAAGAGAGCTAAGTGCCTAACCTTTGAGGGTTTACAACACTAAACATTTTGGGGTTTGATACCTGAGGTGGGCACAACAACACATAAACGAGTTTGTCTGCTTTTTGTAGAGAGGTGGGATATGTCAAAAATGATCATTGTGTATTGTGAGGTTAGGTTAGGTGCTGATGCTCAGTAGAGAGGTGGGATATGTCAAAAATGATCATTGTGTATTGTGAGGTGAGGTTAGGTGTTGGTGCTTAGTAGTGAGGTGGGATATGTCAAAAATGATCATTGTGTATTGTGAGGTTAGGTTAGGTGCTGATGCTTAGTAGAGAGGTGCACCAACACCTAACATACTACACACATTCCGCCAAAAGTTTGAAAATTATAGAATTATTAAGGAACTCACCAAACTAACAAGTTCACAATAATAGAACTCATAACATCAAGCTCCTTATAAACTGAGCATATATACTACCAACAACAAGAAGGCTTGGACTCGCTACTGTCACCAGTAATGGTGATAGCAACCTCTACGTGAAGAACTTATAATCGACATTAACGCTCTCAGAACAGCCGTTCTACGCCTCAAAATTTAGCTCAGATATATTGGCGATACATCCGTAATATGGCATTCCACAGACAAAATTCAAGAATTCATAAACCACATGAACAGATAACATCCCGCGTTACAATTCACAGTGGAAAAAAAAAAAAAAACATCTACCAACTCCCATTCCTTCACATGATGGTTACCAAGACACATAACTCATGATGTATTACAGGACTTGACAGGCAGCCTACAAATACGGATACATACCTGGACTATAAATCAAACCGCTTCAGTGGTGCTAAGACAGGCGTCAGAAACTGCCCATTTATAGTTTCCAAAAATGAACAAGATTTGTAATACCGAAGAAGATGGAAGAAAAAAAAACCTTATCATTACCACTATCCCTAACAATGGATGCCCGTAACACTTAATAAAGCAGATAAACACTAGGAATTGTAAGGAAGAAATTTCGAGACTTATACCAACATCACTCTATGTTAGAAGTCTTTTTACAAACATAAAAAAGATGTGTAAACAACGTAAAGTCAAAATACAATACGATCGCAATCAGTACACATCAAACAACCTAAGGAACCAATGGAGAAGAAAACCACCATTTACAACATTTCCTGTGACTGTGGGCACGGATATACTGAAGAAACAGAAATACCAACGAAAGTTAGAATTCAGAAGCATAATATACACACGAAACTCTGTAATACCATTCTATCTGTAATAGCCAATCATGTCAGATATTGTAATACCGATCTATCTATAACAGCCAATCATGTCAGAGATTGTAATACCGATCTATCTGTAACAGCCAATCATGTCAGAGATTGTAATACCTATCTATCAGTAATAGTCCATCATGTCAGAGATTGTAATACCGTTCTATCTGTAACAGTCTATCATGTCAGAGATTGTAATACCGATCTATCTGTAACAGCCAATCATGTCAGAGATTGTAATACCGATCCATCTGTAATAGTCCATCATGTCAGAGATTGTAATACCGTTCTATCTGTAATAGTCCATCATGTCAGAGGTTGTAATATCGGTCCATCTGTAATAGTCCATCATGTCAGAGGTTGTAATACCGATTTATCTGTAATAGTCCATCATGTCAGAGGTTGTAATACCGATGTATCTGTAATAGTCCATCATGTCAGAGGTTGTAATACCGATTTATCTGTAATAGTCCATCATGTCAGAGATTGTAATACCAATCTATCTGCAATAGTCCATCATGTCAGAGCTTGAGACCATACGATAAATTCCATTCATACTAAAATAAAAAAAGAATGTGAACCAAACACGAGAAGAAGAAAGAGTCCTTCTACATCCACCTAACTGATAATACACTCAGTCAACCTAGCAGAGAAGCCAACTAAACCTGGATACCCCTCTTGAAAACATCCAAGTAATTAGTTGATTCAAGTAATAAAAGGAGGAAACCCAAGTCGGGTTAATAACACTCAAGACTTTCATCAAGAAGATCCAGTGTCAAGTAATAAAAGGAGGAAACCCAAGTCGGGTTAATAACACACAAGACTTTCATCAAGAAGATCCAGTGTCAAGTAATAAAAGTAGGAAACCCAAGTCGGGTTAATAACACACAAGACTTTCATCAAGAAGATCCAGTGTCAAGTTATAAAAGGAGGAAACCCAAGTCGGGTTAATAACACACAAGACTTTCATCAAGAAAATCCAGTGTCAAGTTATAAAAGAAGTTACTAATTAATAATTAAATTTAGATGATGGTATAAACTATTAACCATAACACCGATTGATTTTCTATCGCCACAACCTTACAGAAAGTACGAAATCGCAATTACGTTTTATTTTATTTTTTCAGAAATATTGAAGTAGAATTACGTAGGTAGATAGAAAGAATCTACACTTTAACTGAAACAGTAATTAATGTCATCAATGGTAAATAGAAGAATCTACACTTTAACTGAAACAGTAATTAATGTCATCAATGGTAAATAGAAGAATCTACACTTTAACTGAAACAGTAATTAATGTCATCAATGGTAGATAGAAGAATCTACACTTTAGCTGAAACAGTAATTAATGTAATTTTTGTCATCAATGGTAAATAGGAGAATCTATGGAATCTAAATGAAAATTCAGCTGAGAAACGTCGCATATTCATTATTCCAATTACAACACATTTTTCTTTGGACAAAAAGAAAAATTATAAAAACCAGATTAGAAAACACTGATCAGGATTTAAAACTTTAATATTTGCTGGAATAATACCCCATCCCCCACCCCATGGAATATTATTGCTGTATTTTCCTAGGAATTTAATAAGCTTTACAACAGAGTTTCCTAAAATTTTGTCGCCCACCCCTTTTAATAAATATGGTTTCTTTGGAGAGCCCCTCATTTTTTAAATGAGTAAATTAAGTGACGAGATATAATACACTGATACACATTAAAATGCTGTATGTGTTGTAGTAATTACTTGTTATTTTCATTAATAAAGATACATTAAAACGTTTAATTTTGCATCCTCGTACTATTGACTCCACCATAACCGCACGCCCCCTCCCCAAAAGATCCTTTACACTTCTCTTGGGGGGGGGGGGGGTCACGCCTCACACTTTAGGAAACACTGACTTACGAGATTATTTCACTTGTATAGTGTCAAGCGGTTAAGGCGCTCGACTCGCAATCTGAGGGTTCGAATCCCCGTCACACCAAACATGTTTGCCCTTTTAGCCATGGGGGTGTATTTATGTGATAGTCAATCCCACTATTCGTTGGTAAAGGAGTAGCCCAAGAGTTGGCAGTGGGTGGTGATGACTAGCTGCCTTCCCTACAGTCTTCCACTGCTAAATTAGGGTCGGCTAGCGCAGTTAAACCCTCGTGTAGCTTTGCTCTAAGTTCAAACAAACAATTCACTTGTATAGCATGCAATTCTTACAATTTTATGTCTTTCTATAGTCTTATCATCTCACATTCTAACAATACAATAAACAAGTTCCGTCGAATATTTTATTTAATCATTTGTCTCTTAAACAATGTTTCTAATCGTCTTTCTCAATGGTTTGCAGATCAGTATATTTGACCTTCAATAAGAAGCAACAGCAGTGTTGCTAGATGTTATACCATTGTTCACCTGCTTCTTTCCCGGCTTGAACATGGAGACAAGCGCCCTCTATTTTCTGTTTTCATGCACATACTATTCCGTGCGAAGCAGAAGAGATCACAGATTGTCAGAAGCTCGCGTGTGTATGAGCCACGATATTTTATCGAGCTCCTTTGGTTATTTTGCGCTCAACTCTGGCATGTGGAGCTACAGGAATAATTGTCTTGATATGTTGGTCATTTCATTTGACTGTTAGCCTACATTGACCTAATTCGCCCATTCCTACACGATAGTAAGGTCGATTGGCCAGGAGTTTTTGTAAAATATAGATCAAGACCCAAGTTAGACATGATATATCGGACGTGTAGAAGACAGTGGCGGTGGTTTCTATTCTGT